GTAACTCCTACTATTTAATGTGCGCAGTAGCTATGCGCAGAAAGGTAATCGTCTTTATGGAGTAGCGAGTTCATCACGATATAGTAGTAGTGATCTAACTTGATGCAAGGAGAAAGGGGATACTTGGATACGTACGTTGACCCAACATCCCTGACTACACCTCCCCCTCCACCGCCACTCCCCACAAATCTGGTTTCGTTGCGAGTTGCGCACAACTTTCTAAGCTCGAATCTCATCTGATGAGGTTCGTTCAAGTTATGCTCATTGCATGTCTAGTAGGGAGAGAAAAAGATAAAGGTTTCGATGGTGGATCTGGATACCAGAACTTAGCAAACTCGTTCGTTATCAACAAAACAACCGCGATTGCGAGCTGACGCATAGCACACCGAGTTGATCAGCAAAGCTCTCTGAAATGTTACTCATTTGAATTTCCGTAGCACAGGAATCGTTGATATCGCTAGATGCATTACTTAACCTAACCCTGCCGTGCACTTCAAAACTGAAAAACATGGTGGCAATGCAACACTTGGCAATACGGGAGATATATGTATACCTTCATCCACTCTGGTTTTATCGTACACCTTTACAAAAACTATTTCATTTGTACCTGTAATATTTTTATTTTATTTTTAATCGATGCAACTCAATTTGTAGAAGAACAGTGTACATGGTTGCATAGTCAAGAAATTCTTTTTCTTTAAAATGTTTCTTTATCGTAGTACTGACAGGTACATCGATATATTGACAGTTGACATATGAATGCATAAATTACTGATAACGTTTCTGAATAATAGTTTAAAGAAAGCGTAACTAGTCTCGAAATAATTGTAAATATGCTACTTCGTTAATATTATCTACTAAATTTTCTTGCACAGATAATTTGCAATCTGACCTCGTTTGTTGACCTCACCGGTTGCTAGGCACCAGTCATATTGTCAGAGGGAGGGAGTTAAGCTTTTAGCGATGTTGCCAAATTGTTTCACATCGAAAATACACGATTAAAATACAATACATTACCCCTTTTGATTGTTGAAACAAAAAACTGATTAATCTTATGTACAATTACAATAATATTAATGTAATTAACACTATTTATCTGCAACTTCCTTTGCTACGTATTTATTTCGTTTGAGTATGTAAAATGACTGCTTGTATAGGCAGAGTTTCAAAGTTTCAATTAAATGATACATAACCCAAAATTTACGAGTATACAGTGTATTTTAATTATACGAAACATTTACACCAGGTTATAGTAAGGTCAAATAATGACATTGTAATTAAGCAATTACTATTACTTGATTTATTTTGTAGGATAATATAATTTTGTATATAAAATTTGTATTCACCCTGTACTTACAACAAGAGAATTAATACTTTCGACCAAGTAACCGAATACAGTACGCATTGCAAATCAGTGCTGCCAACATGTAAAGAAAATACTACGGAAAGTGTTATACTTTTCATAAAACACAAATTAACAAATGTTTCTTAGAAAGTGTATGAGTTATTTACACGTTCATGATAGCTAAAAAGCGCAGTGTCACATACTAAGCTGCTATATTCCACTTTACTTGATTAAACTTATGTTTATATCGTGCTTGTTATGAACCTCTTAACGATACCCCATAATAATTACTAGTTCCAGATGTAATGTCATGTTGATAAAATAAGATAAAAAACTAATCTTGGTGATTTAAGAATAGAGGTTACTTTAACAATTCGTAAACACTTCTGATAGTACCATATAAAACGCCAATTATCTTGTATTGATGTTTGCAATTTGAGATCCTTTAACCTAATCGAATATTCACATTTGCATAAATAGTGAACTATCAGTGGGGAAAAATTGCCTTTTATTTACTGTTAAATACGTCTGTAGAGAACAGTTTTTATACGATCATGATAAGTGTAAAAACTTATATTTCATATATGATCTTAGAATAGTATTAATTGTGTTCCAAGTACTTTAATAAAGATAATATAATCCATAATCATGTTTGGTACTTTGCGTAATAAATTTCAAACAGTACAAGAAGGTATATCGGCTAGGTAAAGAATATACATGTTTATAGTTCTATTTGCCAATGTATGACAAACAAATAATAAATATATTTTAGTGCCAGTTGCTTCATAAAAATTGAAAATGTAATTAAAGGGAGTTTACCATATATTTTACATATAGATAACTTCCTTACTTTTAGTATTCGAGGATTAACTGTTACCGAGACCCCAAAACAGAAGAAATCTGTTAATATCCGTAATGTTAATTACGATGCGGGAGCTGATATTTTACATAGATATCAGTTACAGTGGAACGAGTTACACGAGCTCACAGAAGAAAATGCAGAGAGAGCCCAAATGGCAGATAAACTTATAGGATGTATTTATGAAAGACTCGAACAAGAGTGGAAAAGTATTACATGTTTAAATAGCACTTTAGCATACATTCCAAAAATTAACAATGCGATACAGGACCTGATGGATCAAATAGGTATCTTCGTATAAATTCAATTTATAAAGGAAGTTTAAAACTAAGTAATCATTTTTATTAATATCGAAGGAACATTACAAGAAACATTCGAAGAAGTAGAAGGTGCTATTTATCAATTAGAAGATCTAAATGAAATGTTGGATTTACAAAGTAGACAGTTGGATCACAGATTTCAATTAGCTTTATATGAAGAAAAGAAACTTGTGGAATTAAATATTGTAAAAGGTAAATTACATTATATTTGGGCTTAATTAATTAATTAATTAGTATAAGAAAAATGTTCAAGGTATATATTAATTTTAGCAAAGTTAGCCAATGAACACACCGAAAGAGTATCCCAATATGAACTCAAGCAACAGAAGATGATGAAAGAAAGACGAGAAACGTTTGAAGAAGTATTCAAAGAGCAACTCGAAGAATATAAAGCAACTGGCTCAATATCAAGTATAATTGAAAATATAAAAAGAAGAGTTTAATATCCTCTTAAATTCAATGTTATAAAATTTGTTGTTTTTCTTTTAGAGTTACCAGTAACACAACAAGGACCATCTTTGGATGACATAGTTTTAGATGTGGATTCAACGACATTTGATGAATTTTTAGAAAATTAAAATGTAACATTTTAGTTTTAAGTGTTTTATTCATAATGTAAATATTTTAAATAAAGAGATATATCAATTATTTTTTAAATTATAAAAGTAATATGTACAAATCATACAATAAGTAAGTAATAAATCTCATTCTCAGAAACAAATATTGATTACATGAATTATATGTACTGTGTGGTATTTCTTACAAATATCACCTATGCTAAATAGATTAAAAGTGAATAAATAATAATAATAAAAACGTTTATTTCACATTTTTTTTCAATAAAATACGATTAATATCTATATACGATTTTTTATTACATGAAAATCAAGAATACGGTTATATAAATACTACATAGATTCCTGCTGGCTGCATCTACAAATGTGGATAAAATTATGAAAAAAAGCATATAATAGTCGAAAAAGCATCAAATTCGCACGCAAACAAATTAGTTATTTATATACTTACATACTGTACATATTACATAATATCGTTTTCTAGGTTACGTTAGATTAGTGAATTTGAACGGATTTTCAGTACTCGTGCCGAAAAGCAAGAACAAGTGAAATTTACTCTAAAGTTCTAAACATAAGTATAAAGTATTTAAGGAACAATTAAAATAGATACGATATATTAAAACAATTGCTTATATATATATACTCGTACTGTTTACTACAGGTATAGTATTAAACTATTCTGAAAGGGTTGTAAGTGACATTTTGGCAGTGAACAGATTTTAATAATCGATTTGTATTATAAAAATATATTTTTTTCAGTATTTTTCAAAGGCTTCAAAGTTAAGGACTACTTTCATAAAAATGTTGCAACGATACAAAAACGTGAACTCTATCTTAAATAAGTTTCACAAGGGATTCGTAAATGTATGTATTGCTACTACATTAATTACAGGTGCACTTTTTTCCTATAAAGTATACGAATATATTCGATATATACGGCCCCTTCACAAAACAATGAAAATGAAAGCTGAAGAAGAATTACTATCTGAAGGAAAACCTTTACAACTCTCTTAAAATGACATATTAAAAAGTTTAAACTATAAATGAAAATGTAAACACATATATTATAATAGAATAATAATCGTAATAAAAAAATGCACAAGGTAATATCAGTCATTGACCATTGAGTTTTCTTAGGCTAAAATATATTTTCAAATATTACGATAGGTTGTAAGGAAATGTTATAATTCACAATTTTTTTTATAATTATACTTGGTACATAATTTAATACGCATAGTATATTTTTGTTGAATTTGTTTTATTTGAGAAGTCACAATTGTATACATCCCTTATCATAATGTTTTTCAAATGAGTATAAAAAGGTGTATCGTGAGATTATGCCCTGAGTGATTTTTAAATTCGACATAGAATAAGTGTGCTTTATATTATGTTATTGTAATTAGTGCATCTTTACCTAAATATATTCAGTAGACGATTTTTTAGTCATTTTTCTACTATAAACAAAATTTAAGTACAGGTTATAATAGAAAGGTACTGCACATGTATGGACACAAATACATTCTTCATTCGAGCATACTTAAATTTTGAAACATATAAATCTTTATAATAATTGCCAATTTATACATTGTTGAATGCAGAATTAAATAAACCTATCTAATAAATGCTTAAGGAATAGATATATGTACATTGTTCGTAATCGTAAAGACCGCGTAATGATATAAATAACATGTCGGTATTCTTTCCTATTTTGTTGAACACTTTTCATTCTAAGACGTTCACGAGATATTACATAAGAGTAAAAGAAATGTCCTACTTCCTGCTCAATGTCACGTTTTATACAGATAATAGAAATATATTTCTTTTTGCGCTTACATTGAATAATTACTTAAAGCAAATCTCTATAAATGGAAGGATAACCTCTGTTAATAACTGAAGATTCGTATTATAAAATTTGTATATTAAATAAACATTTTATGTTTAATATTTACACGTATGCAAGTTGAGTGCACATGATACATTTACAAAGTACATGGTCGATACCGTTAATCGCGTTGCTTCAATTGTCTTATATATCAATTTAAAATTGTCACGCACATAAATTTCTACTTATTCATCACAAAGGCTAACGTTTTAAAAATGCCAAATTTTCTTTCAGTATTACCGTAAGTCTTATAGAAGGCAATAATTTTTGTACACCTTCCAAATGTAATTTTCGAGTACAAAATACATCGTATATATGCTGGATAGTTTATATACAACGTCTTTTTCCTTTTTGTGTAATGGACATAATTTGTACTCAGTTTCTTGATAGTTCTAGTCAACCATACCTCATAGAATAATATTAAAAAAAAAAAAAAAAAAAAAAAGAAATTCCTAAATGCAATATACATACATTTCAAATTACAAATGAAAAAACAGAAATTGATTTTTATTTACATTTATAAAAATCAATCGGTGTAAGACTTATCAAAGGTTATATCGTATTGCCAGTATGGTACTGTCGAACTAAAAATTAAATAATATCTATGCTTTTATTCGAAATATCAATATAGTCGTTTGATATATTAGGAAATAGTACGAAACATAGAGTTAGTCTTACATAGATCGATCTTTAAATTATAGCGGTACACTTTGAAATACTAAAACTTAGTAATCGGTATTATTGTTCTATACGAAAAAAAATGAGTTTCATGGAAATGAAATTTAAAAAAATACAAAAACACTGTATTTTTATAAAAAAAAAGATATTTCATGTTTTTCTTAGAAATCTTAAATCTACAATCCGATCAAATACTTGCACAAACCCTGTAGCCCATAGGCTGCAACTTGAAATTCCGCAGATAAAAATCTCAAGCAGTAAACGTTTACGTATTATTAGATGTGGGATTAGAATTTGATAGCGACTCTACACGCATCGAATCGATCCTGGCTACAATTTTTAATGCAGGACCTAATTTAATACTCATGGCTGACATAAGGTGGTCCTCTTTGAGTAACATAAGTGCTTGACCATCGATTTCTTGAATAGCAAAATCTTCTGCATAGTCAGCACACCCCGGTAAACCACGAATAAAATCACATACTTCTCCAACCTGTGCAAAATAATTTTATTTTGTCATATCGACGTGGAAATATATTTCTTTTTAGGAAATTTATGCGAGCCGTATTCTTACCGTCCATTTTACAGGATTAACTTTTGGCAGTGTTTCATCGACTGAGGAAGTTGTAGTTGTAGTGGACAATAATTTATCTTCCCCATTCTTCTTCATCATGTCTCCGTCAAGATTTTTCGATTCAGTCTCTATCAATTCAGTCCACTGTTTCTCGTTACCGTCGCGATCTCTCGCTTCACGTTTTTTGCTGTTTGATTCGTAAGTTGTAATTTCTGTTTTTATTCAAATACTTCAAAAAATTCAAGAAGCAACGCGTCTACTAACCTCTTTGCACAACCAGATGAACAGAATCGCTTTTCCTTTTTGAACTTGATATTTTGCTCGTCCACTAAAGTACCGCAAGATTCGCACTTTCCAATTTGAGCATTATTTCCGTCGTCGTCACCGGGATAATTAGGTGCATGCTTTTTCCCTGACAGAATTAATTCAGTTTAATACAGCTTACGTTACTAGTAGAACACTGCATGTAACTACATTTGTTTAATCTTACTTGGAGGTTCTTCATGGTTCTCCTTTTCAGACGATGAATTATTACGATTTAAAATATTATTTGTGTCTTGATTAACTGTGTTATTTAACGATGTTCGATTAACGGCAAATGGTTCGGATGCTAAAACAAATGTATTTATAAGTATAGGCATAATAATTCGTAAACGTAATAATACATAAGAAATGAATCGAATATATACCTTCTTGTATAACAAAGCCTTCGATTACATGCGTGAGAACTTGTGGTTTGACCATTGCTTTTGGAGGCACATGTTTGCTGTTTGCAGTAACTGACACTGACACGGGAATTGTTACAGACTCGTCGTTGCTAATACCATTCGTAATAGAATTAATCGTGTTCGCTAGTCCTGTTAACGGATTGTTGCATTTCTCTTCTGTCTTCATAGTTGAATTATCTTCGTCTTTTATAACTATTTTACATTGGTCCCCGTCTATGCAAATGTTTATATGAAACTCATGCTATTATCGAAAATATTTATCGAATTATATACAAACCTGTCACTTCTGGTTGAGCTACTGTAATTTCTTCTATCGTAAGGGGCATTGTCTCTTCCTTTTTCAACATTAATTTAGAATTTTCTTCGCTTGTAATTGAAGCATTTGTAGTCGATGGTAATACTAAGGTACATTCGGTTTGATGACTACGATCAGGAGATGTAATCATTATGGTGGAATTAGTATTATCGTGCGTTTGATCTGTCAACTGATTCACCATAGACATCGTTTGAACCTGTGACGTCCCGCTAACTATTTGACTACCAATTATTGTCGAATTGATCGCCTAAAAAGTATTACGTTATCGAATTAGGTGGCATTAATTAAATAGAAAACAACGTGTATTACCTGTAATGGTAATTGCTGTACATTAGCCATCTGTGACTGTTGTACTTGATTCATTTGAGATGTAGTAGCAACTCCAACACCAACACCAACTCCGCCTACGGATACCACAGGCATAATCGGGCGTTCTCCGCCAAGAACCACTCCAGGTTGTTGTTGCTGTTGTAGAGTCATGTTTGCTTTAAAGAAGACAGTAACGGTTGAATATCTGAAAACCCGTTTAAAAAATTATTGTAGACAACATATAAATCGTCGTCTTACTCATTATTGGTTTAGGCTGTATTTGTTGCTGTTGCGATGCTTGCAATTGCGGTTGTTGGTACTGTTGTTGCATCTGTTGCTGCTGCGCATGCTGCTTCTGTTGAATAAAAACCTGTTGATGTTGTTGCATCGCTTGCTGTGACTGTTGCTGCGGTTGTTGCGGCGATTGCAATGGTTTACCACGACCTTTACCGCCACTACCGCTTCCTTTTCCACTCTAAGTTATAAAACACAAAAAAAAACACTTCTTCTTCATTATACGAAAAGAAAAAAGAATGTTTCGATGGTTTGACGTGACACACGACAATCGCAGCAGTTGAAATTGTTGTTCCAACTGTTACTTTAATTATAGTAACCTGTACATGTACCGTGGCTTGAACTCCGTGAACAGTTTGCGTTGAAACGGAACTGGCAGCTCGTATACTGGCAGCTTGTACTGCTTGTAGAGAGGACGGCAAAATACTCAACGGTCGTTGACCACCCGTGCTTTGCTTACCCTGCTGCTGTTGTTGCTGTTGCATATCCATCACCTTTGGTTTTGCACTAGCTGCAGCAATTTGTTGTACCCCTTGAATTTGTTGTTGCGTAGCCAGTGCTATACAAAGACAGCGACGACATAATCTCGAGAAGATTAAAAATCTTATTTAATACCGATAATAAACTAACCATTATGAGCTTGTATAGGTTGTGGGCTTTGTATAAACATGTCAGGTTGAGTAGGTCCTCTAATGAATATCTGATTAGTTAGAAGTGCTGGTGGTTGTATCCCTGTCCAAGCAACTTGTGGTGTAAATTGCCAAGGAGCAAATTGCATACCGCCCCTTCCGCCCGATGGCGTAGCTGCAGTGCACGTGGTATACTAAATATTACAGAAACAGTACACTATGTATGTGCCGAACATAATACAAATAATAATTAGGTATCGTAAAATAAAATCTGAACGAGATTATAATACCTTTTGTACTTGATCTTGTTTGTTTGCAGACTGTTGTTGCTGTTGCTGCTGTAAAGAGGGAGGGGGTTGTGGGGAACCCAATACACCTAGTTGACCAAATACTAAAGTCTGTCCAGCTCCTGGTGTAGCAGAAGTAGGTACTGGTAAGTATCCCGTAGGAAATCCTTGTACTTTTGTACCTCCACCTGCGGGATGACCTCCGCCTTGACCTGGCGTCGACGCGGTAGTTAGCATGTGAGGTGTAAGTTGAGCAGCTGACTGAAATGGCTTTCCAGCAGTTATGACCTGTAAAGTATCCGACTTAGAGGAGGATTTGTATTTTTTTTAAATGCGAAACATCACGAGTATGTTTAGATACCTGTATAGAGGAAGGATTAAGTCCTGCAGGATGAAGAGCTAAGTTTCCTGGCATCAGTAACGGAGTTCCCTGAGTATTATAGAGTTGTTGTAAGTGATATGCTTGGTTTTGCATAGGTTGCTGAATAACTTGTACAGCTTGTGGGTGTGCAGCCATTGTAGTTATGGTTGTTGCTCCCTGCTGACCGGATAGAGTCATAGACACACCTCCTTGCTGTTGATGTTGTTGCATTGATACTGCAACAGCACCCTATAATATTTGATTATTATTATATAAATATGTTTTCTTACTAAATAAATGCCTACTATACAGTAAAATTTTACCTGTTGCTGAGGCATGATTGCTGCTACCTGTGGCTGCACTTGGACTTGAGTAGGAACAACATTATGCTGTCCATTATTAGATTGTTGCTGTTGAGACTGCTGCTGCTGTTGTTGCTGTTGCTGCTGCTGTTGAACATGTTGTTGTACTTGTTGCTGAACCTGCTGCTGAACTTGCTGCTGAACTTGCATTTGCTGTTGGGACTGTACTTGTTGCTGAATCTGTTGTTGTGGTTGAACTTGTTGAGATTGTACTTGTTGCTGTGCTTGTTGTTGCTGGGACTGTTGCTGCTGTTGAACGTGCTGTTGTTGTTGTTGTTGTACATTTTGCTGTTGTTGAATATCATGGGTTGCGATCATCATTTGCTGCTGTTGTGGCTGTTGCTGCTGCTGTTGTTGAGGTTGTTGTTGTTGCTGTTGCTGCTGTTGTTGCTGTGATTGCTGTTGCTGTGTTTGTTGTGGCTGATTTTGAGAGATTCCAATTGGTTTAACATCTGTCATGTTTTCCTATACCTTTTTATTATTCGAAGTTAAACTTCCTTTAGAAAAAGAAGTATTTTTTCCACTATTAAACTCTCAGCAATTTAATGTCTTTTTTCCTTGCCATTGTATATAGATATTTTTTGTTAGAATATCACTTTTAATCTTTTCAATCTGCTGCACCTAAAAAGATAATTGTTCATTTTGTTAAAAATTTCTTTGAAAAGTTCAGACTTTATTAGATTAATTTATACATAAAAGTAACGATCGATTGTACCTTTTATAATGTGTACAGAATCACAATTGATAGAATTTAAATAAGTTATTTATTCTAATACATAATTTACGATAGTACGGTTTCATATCCGATATGTGTCTTGTACCAAAATTTTCAGTATAGATACACAACAGTGTGTTTATATCAACGAAGCACCAATCGTAACGTGTTTATTGTCGCAGAAATAGATAAAGAAGTTATGCAATATTTATTAACCATAACCTTAATTTTAATATCATCGATTAATATCATCGGTACACGTGGAAGATTGTAAAATTACTTTTGAATTTTAATAGATCGTTACTGTTTGATCTTGATATAAGAGTGTAAAAATGAAAAGTGAAAGAGTGCGAAAAGTGGTGAATATTCGTTTACAATGTAAGTGGTATTTCAAATCAACTAATTATTGCATGTTCGATTTATAAAAATTAAAGATGGAATGTTTAGCATGCTATACTTTTTGTATTTTTGTTCTGAACATGTTATGTTTTATAAACAATATACGAAACTTCACAAATTAATGTTAACGATTCTTCAAATATACGGTAAATATTACAGTAGTTACTAAGAATATATTTTATACGTCATATTTTCATAACCAACGCTTCGAGCATACTAGATAACCTTAAAATGTAGATCGTATCAACTATTAAGGGGTCATAATTGCTATTAACAAACTCATTAAATCATCCACTAGAGCAATTAGCAATAAGGAATATATATCTTGAGCAAATGTTTTCAATTAAAGGAAAAGAATCCTGTAACGATTAATTTTCAGATCCGGGTGCAATAATACGATAATCATTTTGCGTATTTAATTTCGTATACTTTTATAGGTTTCAATATTTACGTACGGTTTATTATTAATAATTTCCTAAATTCAAATAACATAGAAAACGTTATTAACATAAAATATAAAGCATAAGTTCGAAAATGTTCGTATAACCTATAATTTTGGAATTTGTATATTTGGACGTAGTTCTCTCAAATTTGCAACAAGAACTTGGGATAAATTTTTATTAACGTAATTGTGATATTTACTAAATACATATTAATACTTTTTATGGAAATGATCAATAGGGAACGGTTAAATGCATTAAAACAAGTGTTTCATAATAAGAGGGTCTATTTGGTATTATATGCGAGATTGGTTTTTGCGTGATGAATTGATAATCAGTTTGTCGACAAAGTCATGCAAAACTGAAAAAAATGGAATTTCTAAAGACGCGAGTCGGGTTAAAAAAAAAGTTCGAATGGGTCTCGAGCGGTAAAAAAGGGATCTGTAATCGCGTCAAAGCATCGAAGTATCGACGAACCGAAAACACATGATCCATCTTGAGATTGGAGTAGAAGGAACAAAATGTCGTCTCGCGAGCACCACCATAATTAGTAAACGGACAAGGGGCTCGAAGAGCAGGAGGGAGAGTTCTCTCTGAGCGGGAAATATGATTGAAAGGCGGGTTGAAGGGGGAGAGAAAAATAAGAGAAGGGGAGAAGCGACCGTACTAGGGGGCGGTTGACAACATGGATTTCGCCATAATGGTAATAACGGCGATGATGATAATAACAACACACGCGGTTTCCTCGACGAGTGTTCGTCCGATGTAACTTATTCGTCGGAGCAACTGAGACACGCGAAACCGTGGAATTGTATCTCGTCGAATAGAGAACAGCGTCTCCGACGCCGACATATTGGATTACAAAATAAAGCACGTTCGAAGATCCGGCGGGACATAACGCACAGTGTGTTCTATACTTTGTGTAGCTCGCGGTAATTTTCGAGTATCGATATACCGTGTACGTTGTAATCGCGGTCGGAATACCATCGATACGGATCTACAAGGAGACTAAAAATATCGAAGGCACACAACATTGCATGGAGTTTCGGATACTCGTTCAGGTACTCACATGGCGACTGCGCAGTCACACCTATCACGTTTTCGAACACGCCGTAGACACTGTCACCGCACCGATTCCACCGTTAACTAGACCAAACTTTCTATCGTGAATCGTTGTCTCTCGTACCTCTTTAAAAAAACACTATGGGTATTTTAAACAGAGTTTTGTTATACGTTGACGTCGCGAGGTTTCGTAAGCATTCGTAGTCGCATTCGTTGTCTGCCTCCCTGCTCCCACACGATCCACGGAACCCCTCGCTTCTCTTCGTTCCCCCCTCGCTTCACCGCCCTTCTCCCTGTCTGTTCCCCTCCATTTCGCCTCTTATAACCTCACCTCTCCCATCGCGTATGGCAACCTCGTTTGCCCATTGGTTCAGCGAGGACAAATCCCAAAGGCATCGTTTGCACCGTGAAAGGCGGGGCCATTGGATATGGTGGCTGCAGGCGCATGCCCCGTAACGGTACTCATACTCTTACCTCGGGCACACATAGCACTCTTCACCAACACATGCACACACCCTGTGATGTACATACGAGTGGGTATAGTCCGCAGAATATTTCGCAGTATAACTTCACGATGCCATCAGGGGCGAACACGGACGCGTTGTCGCCCCGTCACGTGACAGTCGTGTCATTCGACTTTCTTATCGAATATTATATTTGCATTTGTTTTGTTTTATGTTTACGTTAGGTGAATTATATGAGCTTATATATAAATTTAGGTTATAGTTGAAATATCGAAGGTAATTAAATTAAATTTTGTTGTTTTTGTATTTACGCGTAAACGTAGCATACAAACAGAGTAGTTCATTTGCAACACGGAACTGTTTGAAAAATGCAAATTTCAGGAAATTGTGTTGCAACAAAAATCGTTCTTTTTCATTCTGGAAATTTTCTATGAAAAAGAAAAATCTGTATTTCCTTCGATGGGTGGTTCCTAATAATTGTCTCAGTTCGGTGTTCGTCGATGATCCTTGCGAGGAAATGTAGATTGAATGGAAATAAATAAAGCTCGATATTTCCATCGCCAAACGTGAATCCAACGTCGCGATTACTCGTTACGCTCCTGGCACAGCTGTTTCTAAGTTGGGCTTATACTGCCCTCCTCGAAACCCCGTAATGCAATTTCGTTCGCGATTGGTCCTCTGCGTGTGTGTAAAGGATTCCCACCCAATCCGTACAGAGCATATTCTGTACTTTTTTCATCAGAAAACGGAAGCAACGCTAGTTTGCGCGAATATACATCGAGCGCCTGGAATTCACAGTACTCCCAATTCGATTTAAATTTCCAAAACCGTGATTTAAACAGACTACATGGTCTATATTTGGGTAAAAGGATTCTTCTTTTGTATCGAATGATTACAAGTTTAAGATCTCTGCTATTTATCGAAGTATAATTTTCGTTCGCGAGTAATTTTCATCGGCTGCAATTTCGTTAGTCTACTACCAGTTATCATAATTATGTTTATTAATATCTCCGAAGATGTGCTTGGTATAAAAAACGACGTTAGGCGTAAAAACGGCACGAAGTATTCGAAAAGATCGAACGTAAAGAGCGAAACGCAACCGATTTATCGGTCATCTTCCAATACCGGTCATGGATTTCGACAAAGAAGCGAGACGGTAGGATGTTTCGCGACGAGGGTAGGAAGAGAGTCGTGGCCGCGCCAATCCCAGCAACCACGTCCCTACGGTGGCATGTGCCTCTGACATGTATACCGCGTATCTGGGTCCTGTTACAGTGTGTGTATCGAGGGAAACACGGATAGTCTATAGTCCACGTCGCGCTAGGTTAGGAAATATACGATATTCCGTGGAAAGGAGCGTGGCGGCGCGCGTAGTTTGTTGTTCGACCGATAGAGCGTACGAAGGGGAAGTGGGAGAAAGCGACAGCCAATGGTTTAGGTCGGCCGGGGTTGCCAAGGTAACAAGTTAATGATTCGAGCCGCCACTGAGAAATTAGCTTCGCTTCGTGGCGGTGTCGCGCATGCGTTCTCTCTTGGAAACTCGCCGCTACGTATCCTGCCTGCCTCTGCGTTTCGATATAGCTGCCCCTTCACATCTGTACCGAAAATCTATACACGTCTGTTTCGTACACGTACACGGCACGTTCCTGCGTCGGTGGACAGGTTCTCTGTGGAGGAGACTCGCCACCACGCAAAGCGGCGAGCCAATGTGTGTACGTGCATCGATCGAGGAAAGTGTGGGTCTCCACACGCATACACGGTTCGATGGAATCGAGAACCCTCGTACGTACACGACGAGGGAAAGAGACAGGGTTACGCAGCTTTTCACTCGTCGCGACGATTGGTCCCCTTCCCACTCCAATCTCTTCTTGGCTTCTCTGTTTTCCATTCGTGCTGTCTGTCATCTTTCCCCTTTCCCCTCGCGCGGACTTGCATCTCCGTCCGTTCATTTGCCCTCTTTCTCGACCAACTCTTCGCTCGTCGCTCTTTCGACCCCTCTACCCCTGACCTTATTTTCCCCACCGCCACGCGGGAATCCGTAATTCAACCACGCGTCGCCTCCTCGCGAATCCTCTTGAACGATACCGCGATCGAGGAGGGGGGAATCGTGCGTGCGAAGGCGGTGGGGGAGGAGGAGGGGAGTTGCCCATTAAGATTCACTCGTGGATTATAATATTCGATGTCCGTCGATCGGGCATCGGGAGGCGAATTAGCGCGTAGAAAATGGAAGCAGCCGGGGGCACCGGTAATTACGCCACGCCTGGTCCTCCGGCGTCCGATGACGATCGTTTTCGACGGTCACCAGGTTTCCTTCCATTTTTCTTGTCGGGATCGCGGCCCCGAGCCGGCTCCAGTCTCCATCGCCAACCTTTTCTTCCGCGTCGTTAGAGTCACCATCCCTGGATCTCAGGGAAAGAGCGAGACGCTCTTTGAAAGAAGATGGTGAGAGGAGGGCGACAGAGGGTATAATTAATTACATTTACGATACAAGCTGACATGACAAATACATGCTTTATGCATACAAGTATATGCACTCGTACAAAACAAAATATTCAATCGTTATATTAATTAGATTATTCATAGATTCCATTCAACAAACATTATTTTTTGTATGTCTTTCGTATCACTGTACTCCATAAATTCATAAAATTCCCGAACTAATTATTGGTAACTTAAACAATCGATATCATTGCAAAAATCATGCGTTCATTGTATTAGGTACGTTACGTATCGTATTTTCGTAACGAACATGCATGAACGAGATCAATAACCACGATCATACATAGCTTCAAGGAGACGTCCGACATAAATAGCGTACTTAAAATATTAAATTAATCCATTGATCGTTGACGATTCGCGCGAGTATTCCAAACGTTGTTTCCCCCGAAAGGTCAACAGTCAATGGGTTCAGTCACGTGAGGTAATCTGATTGTTTAATTTTGTTATTTCAGAAAGGGTAACCTAGAACTTAAAAGAGAACGGTTAGTCGCGTGCGCGCGATCAAAGAGATCACCGCCGAATCGCGTCGCTCGCGATTCGATATCACGATCCGTGAGATACTAATTGACGAACGTAAGTTACTAAATTACCAATTCGATGGGTACCACAGTAGAGTAAGTAAGCGAAGAATAGAAACTCGAGTTTCCCATCATTTCGCAGAGCTTTTCTATTTTTCATTTCTAACTCCGCTACGATTCGAGAATAAAAAAAAAAAAAAAAAGATCGGAGAGTATCCTAAGCCTTGTCAGAAATTATTTATCGATCGTAAATTTAATCGCGATAAGATTTTGAACGATATATTTAAACTTCGTTTTACTGTTGGGATGCGATGTAGAAGTTTCTGGAACGTCGTACGTAACGTAACGTAACACCTAAACGTGCCACGATAACATAGTAATCGAACGGTCATCTTGATACGGATGGTTCGAGGATCGAGGCACGATCGAGGCACGATCGTTCCGAGCGACGCGCGATCTTTGTCGTATTACGTAAGTGTCGCGGTACAATTAGGAAATGCTCTCCGCGGGATCTCGCGCGGCCGGACGAAAATATCCTCTAACGCCTAAACTTACCTCGAAACGCGGATATACGGGCGGTTAAGGGGGGCCAGTTTTCTCGGGAAACTTAAAGGATGGCGGCCAGGGATCATATCGGTTCATTAATCGACCTCGGACACGAGGGTATCGTAAATTCGTTGGAACGCGTGTTGAACTGGCCAGTATAGACATGGGCAATCTTTTATTGGAGTAACAGTCGACGAATAAAAAGAACATATTGTTAAAGTGCATTTATCAAAGGATATCTATCAGACTAAAATTTGTCTGAATGGCTGTTAACCCTTTGACTGCGAAGGGTGTGCATGTATATACGCCCTCGAGAAATGGGCTCAGCGAAATGTTTATATTCGTCGAATCGATTTTTAAAAAATATCGGCTTGTAGGGGATGACGAGACGAGACTTGTTGTATTTACAGTTTATTCATAGGACGCTTAGGTTCGAGAATAAAAATTGAAAAGTTCCAAGTTCGTTGGAAAAATTGAATTTCAGGAGAAAGGTCTTTTAAGTTTTCAATTTTTATCTCTGAAACTAAACACCGTATGGATAAACTCGTAAATATAAAAAAGTTCCGTCTTATCATTCCCTATAAA